TCTATTTTTGGATAATTGATTGATTGATTTCAAAAGGGTAAATGAAAAGTTTTCGATTTTCTATTCAATCTCTGAGATTTTGAGTGAATTCGGTGTTGTTGATTTTTTCAGTAGCTGGAATTTGGTGAAGAAAAGAGTTTGATATGGATGAGGTAGGTCCTCAAGTCGCTGGTCCGATTTCAATTCACAATCCTATGGGGAGAAAAAGAGATCTTTATTACCAGAAGTCGAATCTCCAGCCGCACTGGCTTGTCCAATCTCAGACGCAGACGACAAGGAATGACTGGAATCCCAACATGTGGGAATGGGATAGTCAGAGATTTGAAGCTAAACCTGTAGAAGCTGAGGCTCTCCGGCTCGGAAACGGCACGCAGTTTGATGTCAATGCGAGGATTGATGTTAATAATGACAATAACAATGGTGGTTTGAGTTATCAGGGAGAAGAAAGAGGTCTTGATTTGAATCTGAGTAGTGGTTTTAATGCTATGGAGGAAGAAACACCGCCGGTTGTAACTAGACCAAGCAAGAGGGTTAGGTCGGGATCTCCGGGAAATGGCGGTGGAAACTACCCGAAATGTCAGGTGGATAATTGTAAAGAAGATCTATCAGTTGCTAAGGATTATCATAGAAGACATAAAGTGTGTGAGGTTCATAGTAAAGCTACCAAAGCTCTTGTTGGGAAACAGATGCAGAGGTTTTGCCAACAGTGTAGCAGGTGAAAAAATCTGATCTTTGTTCTTGAATCAATCTTGTTTTCTGAATATGAGTGGGATTTTAAAGATTTGGAACTTTTGGCTTGTAGGTTTCATCTTCTTTCTGAGTTTGATGAGGGAAAGAGAAGTTGTAGGCGTAGATTGGCTGGCCATAATAGGCGGAGGAGGAAAACGCAGCCCGAGGAGATTACTTCTCCGGTTGTAGCTCCGGGGAATTGTGATAATACCTCTAATAACGCAAATATGGATATTATGGCTCTGTTAACAGCTTTAGCTTGTGCACAAGGTACTTAGGCTATGTATCATTCTCCTCTGTGGTAATTATGGTTTTTAAATATTCATGTTTTATTCTTAACAAGCTCTCGGTCTGCGTTTTGCAGGTACTAATGGGTCTACGGCAGTGCCTCAAAGAGAGCAACTTCTTCAGATACTTAACAAGATCAATGCATTACCTTTGCCTATGGATCTTGTCTCGAAGTTGAACAATATCGGGATTTTAGCCAGGAAAAATCTGGATCAACCTTCGGAAATGAACTCACAAAATGATACAAAAGGGGCTTCTTCTCCGTCTACCATGGACTTACTTGCTGTTCTCTCGACAACTTTAGGTTCATCTGCACCTGAGGCCATAGCTTTTTTATCTCAAGGAGGGTTTGGTAACAAAGATAGCAACGATAAGACTAAATTAACTTCTCCCGAACACGCCACTACAATCAATTTAGAAAAGAGAACTTTGGATTTTCCTTCGTTTGGGGGAGGAGAGAGAACCAGCAGCAGTAACCTGTCTCCTTCTCAGGATTCAGATTCACGCGCTCAGGACACTAGATCGAGCTTATCTCTACAACTATTCACCTCTTCACCAGAGGATGAGAGTCAACCAACAGTTGCATCTTCAAGAAAGTATTATTCTTCTGCGAGCAGTAACCCTGTTGAGGATAGATCGCCATCCTCATCTCCTGTCATGCAGGAGTTGTTCCCGCTGCAGACATCTCCTGAAACCATGAGATCTAACAATTGTAAAAACACTAGTCCCAGTCCTAGGGTTAGTTGTTTGCCCCTAGAGCTTTTTGGTGCATCAAGCAGAGGAGCTGCTGCAAATCCTAGTGTTAAAGCTTCTATGCATCAATCTGGTTATGCTTCGTCTGGTTCGGATTATTCTCCTCCCAGCTTAAACTCTGATGCTCAGGTATGCAGCTAGCGATATTCCCTATGTAAACTAAAATCAACATCTTAGAAAAGCAGGTCTAAAGCTACTTTTATGTGTGTTTTAAACAGGACCGCACCGGAAAGATAGTTTTCAAACTACTTGGAAAAGATCCTAGTCAGCTCCCTGGGACATTGCGGACGGAGGTGATAATTTCTGGGGCATATTTTAACCTTCTTGAAATGTAAAAGAATTATTGGTTGTTGTCCTTTTAGTCCTAACAGTGGTCATCTTTTAATTTCAGATTTATAGCTGGCTTTCTAGCATTCCATCAGAAATGGAGAGTTATATCAGGCCTGGCTGTGTTATTCTATCTGTTTATGTGGCAATGTCTGCTTCTGCTTGGGAACAAGTGAGTGAATTTGCTGAATGATTGGTTACCGCTATTCGAATTTGCTCTAAGCATCCCAAGGAGCTGATGGTTTTCTTTGTTTTTAGCTGGAGGAAAACTTGTTGCAGCGGGTTAGTTCTTTGGTTCAAGATTCAGAATTTTGGAGCAACACAAGATTTTTGGTCAATACAGGCAGGCAGCTCGCATCATACAAACAAGGTGAGTGCTTATGAGTTGCTACTTCTGTGTCCGTTTGTGCGTGCATGGTCTGCAAAATAATAACTTAGTCATTTCTATGCAATATTACAGGTAGAATTCGTCTGAGCAAATCTTGGAGAACTTTGAATTCACCCGAGCTGATCACAGTGTCACCGTTGGCTGTTGTAGCCGGTGAAGAAACAACTTTGGTAGTAAGGGGTAGAAGCTTGACTAATGATGGAATTAGGTAAACTTTTTTTTGTAGGGATTTAGCCATTTTACGCATCTTTCTGTCTTTCTTCTAAGCTTTATGGTCATTATGATGCGTGCAGTTTTCGTTGCGCACATATGGGTAACTATGCGTCACTGGAGGTAACTGGAACAGCACATAGGAGAACCAAATTTGATGAGTTAAACGTAGATAGTTTCAAAGTCAAGGGTCCGAGCCCTGGTTCTCTGGGGCGCTGTTTTGTTGAGGTAACACTTTGAAATAACGGAATTTGTAATAGTTTCTTCGTAAATCAAAGTTTTGGAAGATGTTAGTTTAACACTTCCTATTGTGTCAAAACAGGTGGAGAATGGATTCAGAAGTGACAGTTTCCCTTTGATAATTGCCAATTCCACGATTTGCAAAGAATTGAATCGCCTTGAAGAAGAGTTTCATCCAAAAGACGTGACAGAAGAACAAATACACAATTTAGATCGTCCAAGGTCAAGAGAAGAAGTTCTTTGCTTCTTGAATGAGCTTGGATGGCTGTTTCAGAGGAAATGGGCCTCTGAGATTCATGGAGAATCTGACTTTTCCCTCCCTCGCTTTAAATTTCTGCTCGTTTGCTCGGTTGAAAGAGATTACTGTTCTCTCACAAGAACTCTCCTGGATATGATGGTAGAGAGAAATTTGGGAAAAGACGGTTTGATGAACAGGGAGTCCTTGGATATGCTGGCTGAGATTCAGCTATTGAACCGCACTGTTAAAAGGAGGAACACAAAAATGGCAGAGACGTTGATTCATTATTCCGTTAATCAGACTACTAAAAAGTTCATCTTCTTGCCTAACATCACGGGGCCTGGCGATATCACACCTTTGCATTTAGCTGCTTCTATATCTGGCTCTGAAGATATGATTGATGTCCTGACTAATGATCCACAAGAGGTAAATTTCTATATTTAGAGCCCATTGTTTTTAGCCTCTTGTTTTTTCCTACGGTAACCCGAGTTTTCACTTTGTTTGTGAATTCAGATTGGTTTATCATGCTGGAATTCCCTAATTGATGCAAGCGGACAGACTCCATTTAGCTATGCTGCGATGAGGAACAACCACAGTTACAACACCTTGGTGGCTCGTAAACTTGCAGATAAAAGAAACGGCCAAATATCTCTGAACATCGAGAGAGGGATTGATCAGATTGGTATGAGTAAAAGACTAAGCTCAGAGCTCAAGAGATCTTGCAACACATGTGCAAGTGTGGCTCTAAAGTATCAGAAGAAGGTTTCGGGTTCACAACGTTTGTTCCCAACTCCTATCATCCACTCGATGCTTGCAGTTGCAACGGTCTGCGTCTGCGTTTGTGTGTTTATGCACGCTTTCCCAATCGTCAGACAAGGATCTCACTTCAGTTGGGGAGGTCTTGATTATGGATCAATCTAATTAAAAAAAAGGTACAAAAGGTTTGTATAATTAAAAAGGCTTGTTAATTCTTTTGGGTTTCCACAAAAAATAAGAAAGAATGATGTGAAGGAAATGAGAAAACCCAAAGACCTGTGGGATTCAGACAGTGCAGAGATGGGAGAATCACTGACTTGTCTTGATGAGCTAGAGAGAGAGAGTAAAGAGAAGAAAACTGATTCAGGTCAGAGCAGACATAGCTTCAACACCTGAGTTTATTATATTTATGGCTAATTATGTTTTGATTCTTGAATCTGTTAATCTTCTTCTGCTTAATTACTACACTTTTAGTTGCTTCTCCGTTTTTTTTTTCTCTTAACAACACACAGAATCTGTGGTTATTTACTGAATCTGTTTTCTTTTGGAGGGTTATTGTATCTGTAGAGTTGTGGAAGTAGTTGAAGATTGTTGTAAACTTGTAATGTAATAATACCTTCTTTTTTTTTTTTTTTACAATGCTATGTAAAGTAAACATAGCGACTACTCGCAAATCGCAATTCAAATTTTGAAAGCTAAACATTTCATTAGTGGTTACAAGTCTATTTCATCGTCAAAACTTGTTGCGTCGTAACTCGTAAGTAACATATCTACGAACTAACAACAACTATAAAACGTATATGCAAAAGAGCAAAACAAACATGACACATTTTTTTTTGTTCCGGTTTACAATTTGGTCCGGTTCATAAATCATAATTATGCATTACTTCGACTTCTTTTCACGTGAGTTAACCACAACGGTCACGTGAGTGACGTGCTATTGACTATTGTTCATATCAGTCAAGAGTGCATTGCACCTTCTTCTCACAACTGTCCCAAAGTTTTTTCATTTTATGAATACAAACAAAACAATAAACTAATCTCTTTTATTTGGAGTTGAAAGAAGATAAGATCGTAGGAAAACAGAATAAAAAAAAGACGATTCGTCCACTTTTCTTCCAACAGAATTTGGAGTGGTTTATGTTTTAGTTTTCTATTACGTGGATCACACTTCTCTTTTCTTATTATTATCTCTTTACGATATTCCCAATATATATATTTTTTTTATTCGGTCTCTTTCTCGAGTACTTTACATATGTTAATAATGTACGTACTGATCATTAATTGTCATTGTCATTTTTTGTAATATATTAAAATATCAGTCTTATTTTCTAATTGTTTCACCCGTTCGTTTATCGCAGAACAACTCAAAAACAAATGAACGACAAAGGAGAAAAAAACAATCATTTTAGATAAACTACTTGTAATTACTCTTTTTTTTTTTGTTTTTATGCTTTTAGAAGACTTGTTACTTTCAATTTCACAAGTCTATT